CGCACGTTTCCAGCTTGCTGGAAGCGATGCCGTCTCGTCTGGATCCCCAAGAAAGACGGCAATCCACGGCCCATTTCCATCCAGCCAACACTTGGGAAAATACTGGACATACTCATAAACAGACGGCTACAATACTTACTCGAGACGGAGGACAACTTAGGCAAACGACAGTACGGTTTCAGGGAAGGGAGAAGTACGATCGACGCAGTAGGACAACTGGTAGACAAAATACAGACAAACAAGAACAAGAGACTACACCAACAAATAGTCACGCTGGACCTTGCCAACGCTTTCAACTCGGCGTGGAAGCCATATATTATGGGAGAGTTGGCAAGGACGAACATTACGAACAAACTTAAGGGACTAATAGACAACTTCCTGACAGACAGACGGATACAGACCAAGGACGCAACTTACAACATGACGAAGGGCTGCCCACAAGGATCCAGCATAGGCCCAACACTCTGGCTGCTGGTGATGGAAGGGTGGTTCCGAACTATGGACCAAACAACGCAGAGATGGAAGGAGGAACAAGCGACTTTAAGGGACGTAGACATACAATATGTGGACGAACTGACATACATTCAGGCATTCGCGGATGACCAAGTGATTATTATCACGGGGGAATCCGCGAAAAGGATTGAAAACAAATGGACATACGTATGGGATGGGTGCAGGAAATGGGCAAGACAGACAGGGACGAAATACAATACAAAAAAGACGGAGGCTATGTTCATCGGCACCAAGAAGATCCGGCCGCCGACATTGAAAACAGACAATGACAAAATAGAACAAAACGACAACATTAAATACCTCGGAATCACAATCGCCGGACAACTAAACTTTGCCAGACACATACACAAGACGAGACACAAAGTAGAGGAGACAGCACTAAAACTCGGACACAAGATAAAGCGACTATGGGGGACAAACCAGACGACTCTGGTACGAATAGTGCAGAGAGCAATAAGACCGGCAGTGCTGTACGGTTCCGAGGTATGGGGACACAGGGCAGACGAGACAAAACAACGACAACAACTTGACGTTACAATGAGGACGGGCTTGCGCATAGCTTTCAAATCTTACAACACCACACCAACAGCCGCACTACAAGTGCTGGCTGGTACACCACCCTGGTGGATCGAAGCTATGCCAAGACACGACATATACAAGACCAGACGAGACATTGGACAGGGACACAAAATAAAACACAAAGACAGACCACACCCGAACATGGGACACCTACAACGCACAGACACACCATCACACCAACAAAAGACAACAAGAATAATACACACAGACGCCACCGTGAAGACGAACGGACGGACAGCAGTAGGAATACCCATTGAAGACGTTGACGACCACAAAGTACGAATAACGGACGAGACCAAAACACACAACGCAGAGACGTACGCGGCAATTAAAGCCATTTTAATAGCCAATACGAGACAATACACCAACATTACGATACTAACGGATAGACAAGAAACAGCACAGAACATCAACAGAGGAAAGACGACAACAAACTGAACTGAACTTACGGACGTGACAGAAGACACAACCAAATATAACACTAAGACAAACAAAGAATGGGCCAAGACGAGACTAAACATGACAATGGGCAGATAGCAGGACTATTGGGACTAAAGTGACAAAGGACGACAACTCTACGACATTTGCAGGACGGTGGGCCGAGATACAATTAGAACAACATTTAAGGGAACACAATTCGCGACAGGACATGGAAACATAAAACACTACTTACACAGATTCAAACTGACAGACAGCGCGACGTGTACATGTGGACCGGAAGACGAAACAATTGACCACATTAAGCATAACTGTACAGAGACCGACAGACAGCAAGCAAGACAACATATAAGGACTAAGTACGGCAACTACAACTTAACACTAAGACACCAGGACGGGAACAACGACGAGGACATACGTAAACTTAACGAATGGGCCGACCTAGTGATGCGGAAAGAGGAACTAGGTTAAGTAGATCATAGATAGAAATAAGGGTTAGCGTAGGGACAATGTACAGTTTTCGAATAGGATAAGGTCTTTTTCCCCTAATTTGGAGGGAGGAGGTTCAAGGAACGGAGAAAGGAGTTCCATTGGTGGTCGTTTCGCAGATAGTGGGTGTGCATAACACAAATGAACAAAGGGGGTATACCGAAAGGTAGATACCCGGACATTGTACCCATAACAACATGTGCCCCGTGTACCTAAGAAAGGCAAGATAATACCAACAAACGAACGTAAACTACGGAAGTAACCGTGACAGACAGACATGAAAATACTACAGATTAACGTAGACAGAGGGAAGGCAGCGACAGCACTATTAGACAAATATAAAACCGACCACGACATAGACATCGTCATGCTGCAAGAACCCTATACAACATACAGACCGACCAACAAAACAAAAAAAATTAACAACGGACGGAACTCAAAGACGGAAATATGGATAAAGGACAACATAGACTACACGATAATAACGGAACTTACGAACGACAACACAACGACAATACGAATAAACAACAAAGAGGGCAACACGTACATAACATCCATATACGACGAACCAGGGGGAAATAAAAACACGAGATTAGAGGAATACGACAGAAGACAGCGCGAACACACAACACAAATTAGACAACACCTACTATGCGGAGACATCAATGCACACAGTGACATATGGGGCGGCAATGTTAACGACAAACGCGGAGAGGACCTGATCAACTGGACTATAGACAACGGCTACACATTAGAAAACAAAAAATACGAACAACCTACATTTCAAGGACCGATGGGGAACCGCTACGTAGACATGACACTAGCAAAAAACTTACGCACTAAAAACTGGACGGTCAACGCAGACGAGACGCTCTCGGCCCACAAATACATAACATATGAAATAGACATTGAACACACGACAACCAAACGCAAAAGGACCACGTATGACTTTATCAATACAAACTGGACACGCTACGAGGACCAAATAAAACTACAAACCGACCACCTAGACTGGGACCGGAGTGTCGACGACAAAGCGGACAGCTTTGACAAGATCTGCAGTCAAGAGTGTCGTCGACACATTAGGACAAAGACGTTATGAGAAGGGGACGAGACAGGATGGTGGAACGAGACACTGGACAGGCAGAGAAAACAACTCAACAGGGAACGAAGGGAACTTTCAAGCAACAACAGACGACGACGAAAGCGACGCAAGGAAACGACAATACAGAGAACACCGACGGGAGTACAAAAAGCTCATCAACCAAACGAGACAGCGGACTTACGACCAAGACATCACGGACACACTGAAGGACGCCACCTGGCACAAAGCCTGGAACATACTGGCGGTGAAAAAACATACAGACATAAACAAAACGATACGGAAGGACGACGGAACATACACCGAGACAGAGGAGGACAAACAAGAATACCTTGTGCGGAAATATTTCCCACAGGACGCACCAGAGGACGACAGTGAGGATATGCGGGAAATAAGAACGACGAAACACGAATACAACAGGACACCGAACCAACAATAACGATGACAGAAATACACAACATTGTGAATGGACTACAAAAACACAAAGCGACCGGAACAGACAAAATACCCAACGAGGCGGCGGGACACATACTGAACGCAACGGACGACAAACTGGCGCGACTTTACAACAGGTGTCTGGACGA